TGCGGCTGTGATTTATAAAGGAAAGATGCGCAGAAACATGCGTACGCACCGTTTTATAAATCTGATTTTTATTTTTTTTTTGGCGTACGCCATTTCCACCTTTTGGCCACACGTTCACTTTTAGTGTGGTTTCCACGCAATCCTTTATAAATGAGACCCCTGGTGTTTAACTTACCTGAAAACAAACAGCACTCCAGATTTATATACTGTATTTGAGTGGCTCTTTCAATGGATACAATGGACAGCAGCGAGAGCACGGACTGTTGCCTGTGTCATGAAGAGAACAAAAAACAACCTTCAGACTTTATTGTCTGTCATGTTGCAGGTACCCAGACACAGACCATGATTTAAAGAAAGACAATAGAAACGACAGTATGTCAAACAGGGTTCCCACACTTTGGTTAACATTAAATTCAAGGACCTTGTGTAGCAAAATTCTATCCATTAATACGTATGTTATTAAAAAAAGTTTTAATACAATAAAGATGTTATGAAAATGCTCCATTTGGACATAGATGTGTCTGTGCTGCATACATTAGGGATACATTACTGTTTTATGTAGTTTTATAATGCAGCATTGAGTTGCTGAGATGAGAGGTTTGACTGAAGCTAGTTTTAGAATCTAATGTTCATGCTGCATGTCTTAATGCTCACACATTTTTAAACAATTATTCGGTAACACTTTACAATAAGGTACACAAAAAAATGCTTAACTACTGAGGAACTACTCAGTAGTTCCTGAGGATTTACTCGTTGTGTCCACATGTTCAGTAGGTTGCCTTCAGGCCCAGGCCTCACTTGTAAAAAAAAAAGATCTGTGATCTCAACAGGACTTGCCTGGTAAAATAACAGTAAATAAATAAAAATAAAATTAATGGTAAATGGTTTGAACTTTTTTTTCATAAACAGAAAATGTTCCTGTTAATCTGAAAAGTCCTATTTGAAGCTGCAGGCAGCAGGAATTACGGTAATGTATTAAAAACAAACAAACAAATTAAAAGAATAAAACGCAATTTATTGAGTCTTATTTATTAACAACAACCGCTAAGGGGTTAAAAACAGGGTTTTTTGTGTGTGTTATTTGTTTTTGATTTTTTTTAACAACGTGTAGAAGTCCTACCTGAGTCACCAGCTCCATCTCTCCTCTCTGTTTGCAGTCGGGATCAAATAAACAACATGAAATCAAGGTGCGTGTACTTCCGGGTGCGTGTACATCCAGGGGCGTAATGATCTGGGGGCGTCACGATTGGGGGCACAGCGATCGCGTGCTGCAAGCTGCAGCTAGACCCTTCTCCACACAGAACCAAAAAGAGGAAGTAACGAGGTGCGGCCGGATGACGGCTGTGGGATTTAAGGAAGTGAAACCGTGCAGCCAGTCAAAGTGGTGAATAATCTTAAGGAAAGAAAAATTATTATAACAATTTTGTGAGTTTTAGCAAGTTGTGATGTTTTAAATGAAGTGAATAGATTAAAGTTGATTCTATTAAATAATGAGAAAGATTAATGGAAAAGAATCATGAAGTAATTGAGAGATGATCAGTAATCGTTGAAAGAGGAAGAATGGTCCGTGTGTGATTAAAAGTGAAGAAATGAGTAATCGCCAACAACCATGAAGAAGTTTGTGGGGAAAGTTTGAAACCAGAATGTGAAAACTGAAATGTCTTAATGACTAATGTTATAACAGAACTGTACAAACAAGATGTTATTACAGTATTCTGCAGATAAGAATGAATAATGATGTATAACAAATGTTTAAATGTTGATTTGTATGGAAGTTGATTAATGTTTGAATAATGTTATAATCACATGTGAAGAGCTGTAACGATGGTGAGTGGAGCAGAGATGTGAGTAAAGAATGGCCATAAAAGGTCAATCAACAAATGTCGCCACCATCTTGCGATCTGGGTGGGTGTCAGAGTGGACATTAAATTACCCCTTAAAGAGAAACAAACCAGACAGGGACGTAAGCATTCAGTTTTAAGACAGCTTTCTGTTTGCAAAGAGTGAGAAGTTTCTGAGGACGCTTAAAAACAGGTCTCACCAGAAAGTTCTGACCTCCGCTGGGAAAATCTGTACAATTTATTACAAGCAGAGCACAGAGAGAATCATCTTGACCAATCACAGGGTCGCTTCTTATCAGTCTCTGCAGCTGC